GTTGTACAGAAAAAACATTTTTATCTCCAGCGCGCGAGACTCTTTATCGGAAATTCTAAAGATAGGCTCAGTTAAAAATTATTTTGCGATATTGCTCTTGAACTGAATTTTATGGCGAAGAATGTGATATTAATAAATGAAGGTAATACATAAAATATTAAAAAAATGCCCCTTTGGACGTAATTTAAAATCTTAAATATTTACTTACACAGGATATATGAGAAATACTTTATGTGCAACGTTTTACACATGCTGTATATGAGGTTATCTTATATACAATTAATTCCTCTTTTTTTACCCAAATCACATTCAGAATTTGGAAGTTAAGACGTCTTTAATACGAGGCCGTCTCAATATTTGGGCTAATGTGATACACCTTTCTGCATAAAATTTTGTAAAAAATACAAACATTGACTTTAATAGGTTGGTACTGTGGATCAACAGCGGCTGAACACTGGTTCATAGGAGCTTCACATTTTTCATATGTCTAACTGGAGTTCGATTCCTAGCAAACGGGGCTCCAAGTGAATGGGCGTTTTCGTGGTTTTCCCCATGTGTAAAGTGGCCTCGATTCAATTTCCCTTAAAATGACCTCCCTGGGAAATCCCTTCCTTTAAGTGCAGCGCCTAAAGGCGGAGCACCGCAATAAAAAAATTAAAATAATAATAATAATAATAATAATAATAATAATATGCTGGTACCTAAATATGCAATGGGTATGTTGAATGAAATTAATAAATGAGTAGAAACATTTAAATTAAAATTTATATTTTCATTAAGAAATAACTAATTACTTAATATTGTATAAACTTTAGTTCGAAATTCTGGAATGTTCCTATCTGCTAAAGTTTTACCGAGGCCCATTAGCGGCCGAGCGGTAATTTCGCTGAACACTAGTAGTTCCGACTCTTCCAACTTGGGCTGGTGGCATGAGCGTTTCCCTGGCTTTCCCCATGTGTAACGTGTATACGAGCCAATTTCCTTTAGAAAGTCCTCCATGAAAGCACTCCTTTCCTTAGGCAGATGGCTCTAGTGTACTTTGCCATAATAAACTATACCAACCACTCTGCCAGTGGTCGAATGATTAAAGACCGCTGAGTGATGGGAGTTTAACTCGGGTTCCAGCCTATGTGAACGGGCTGTCTGCGCATTCATTCCTCAGGCAGGTAGCCCTTGCGTACTTTTCCATACTCAAATAACTTAACTCGCTGAGCCTTATGTTGTGCTGATATATTTTTATTTATGTAATAACTTGTAATATAATTTTGTAGTACTTTATATTTCATGTATTTAAATGGCCCAGTTTGTAACCTTGTAGGATTCTCCACTGTGTTATTCTACAGTTAAAAGTGCATTCATTCCTCAGGCAGGTACCTTGGTAGCCCTTGCGTACTTTTCCATACTCAAATAACTTAACTCGCTGAGCCTTATGTTGTGCTGATATATTTTTATTTATGTAATAACTTGTAATATAATTTTGTAGTACTTTATATTTCATGTATTTAAATGGCCCAGTTTGTAACCTTGTAGGATTCTCCACTGTGTTATTCTACAGTTAAAAGTGCATTCATTCCTCAGGCAGGTAGCCCTTGCGTACTTTTCCATACTCAAATAACTTAACTCGCTGAGCCTTATGTTGTGCTGATATATTTTTATTTATGTAATAACTTGTAATATAATTTTGTAGTACTTTATATTTCATGTATTTAAATGGCCCAGTTTGTAACCTTGTAGGATTCTCCACTGTGTTATTCTACAGTTAAAAGTGCATTCATTCCTCAGGCAGGTAGCCCTTGCGTACTTTTCCATACTCAAATAACTTAACTCGCTGAGCCTTATGTTGTGCTGATATATTTTTATTTATGTAATAACTTGTAATATAATTTTGTAGTACTTTACATTTCATGTATTTAAATGGCCCAGTTTGTAACCTTGTAGGATTCTCCACTGTGTAATTCTACATTTAAAAGTGCATTCATCCCTTAGGCAGGTAGCCCTTGAGTACTTTTCCATACTCAAATAACTTAACTCGCTCAGCCTTATGTTGTGCTGATATATTTTTATTTATGTAATAACTTGCAATATAATTTTGCAGTATTTTATATTTTATGTATTTAAATGGCCCATTTTGTAACCTTGTAGGATTCTCCACTGTGTAATTCTAAGTTACAGTTAAAAGTGAAGAATCTTAAGAACTCATAAGCGAATAATCGCTTGAGTTCGTGTGACGAGAACCTTTATTATTCCAACTAAAGTTTAACAAAACTCCGCCTTGGCGTGTACAATAAAGCCGACACTTGGGGTTTGAACTTAAGAGACTAAGAATAATACTAAACTAATCTAAACTAAAGAGGTACAGCCGAAGCTATCAAAATTCTAGCAGAGTTGGCCCCTTAAGGTTAAGCTATCAAGGGCCTAAAGTACGGCCGAGCATAATAATAGCCTACGAGAGAGTAGCCTAAAAAGGCGGACGCTTGCAGCCAGAATATCTAGTATCTCTCTTACTAAGACAGAAGAAATTCGCGGTTAAATACCGCTCTTCCTCATTAGCAGTCAGACGTGATTCTAAAACTACGTTCTGGCCGGAAGTGGTAAGCTGGAATTAAGAATCGATAGGAAAGGAAGTTTAACTCAAAATTTAACTGTTAATAAAATTGACATAATTCTTACAACCTTATCACAGCATAGCATTTTAGATCAAAATTTCTGTTTAATATTTTAATTAAAAATGTACCCTTGCATTCAGAATTACTAACTTTGCATAGCTTGTTGTGAGAAACGTGAGTCTGCTATTTTCTTCTATGTACGTCAAGAACTTCTAATTGTTTTAATTCCGTTATCAGTAAACTAACACAAATTTCAACAGTAATTAATCTTTTTTCTAAAGCTAAAAAAGAGCAATTAATTTCGTTTTGGGATATTAATTTCATTTTGTCATTTTGCGTCGATTCACTTTCTGAGTTGATTTTCTTTTCAAATTGTTGCCACCGAATATTACAGCCTTATATTATATTTAAAGAACTTAAATAATGAAGAATCTAAGTAAATGTAAGTATTTTCTCGCATTGTGATAAAACAACGGTACTTAGAGTCATCCAGTTTTGAATAACGCAATCCTCCTACAAATATGGACATCTGGAAGCCTTAATTTTAAATTTTGAATTTGTTTTATTATCTATTTTATATTTTAACAGACATTGAAGAATTTTTGATTAAGAAACTTCACGATTTCAAAACGAGGAATGGCAACACTGTACGGAAAAGGAAACATTTTTATCTCCAGTGTGCGATACCGTGTATCGGAAATTCTAAAGATAGGCTTATTTAAAAATTATTTTGCTATATTGCTGTTGAACTGTATAGAGACATTAGGTACTTTTTTTAAACAAGGAAACTGAAGAAATGTGCAATGCCACTCGCCGGGACTCGAACCACGGACCTCTCGAATACTAGCCGAGCGTGCTGACCACTACACCACGAAGGCATGCTAATAAAGCGAAAGAAATACCTTATAATACTTCGACTGTGGATTAGGCGATCCAGTCGCCAAATCCTCGTGGTGAAGAATCATTATCCACCACCTTTTTCATTTTGGGTGCCACTGTAGATATATTAGGTACACTTTTAAAACAAGGAAATTGAAGAAATGTGCAGCGCCGTCGCCGAGACTCGAACCACGGACCTCTCGAATACGCGCCGAGCGTGTTGATCACTACACTACGAAGGCATGCTAAGAAGGCGGAAGAAATACCTTATAACTGAATTTTATGATTTAAGTACGAAGATCATGATATTTAAATAAATAAAGGTAACACACAAAACGTTAAAAAAGCGCCCCTTTGGGTTTAATGTAAAATCTGAAAGCTTTCAGATATTTTTTTTTCCAATTTTATATCAGAGTTTTCACTCCATAAAAATGTATTTGGTTAAAATAAATGTATGATTATGAATGTATGAAAAAGCGTTTTATCGGATTTTAAGAATAACTCTTTTAACCCTTTACGGCACAGTGTGTCCGGTTTGGACACACTAAAATTCCTTCTGTACGCACAAAAAATTTTGAATGAAAAAGGATTCATAGGTTACTCTGAACCTTCTTTATTTATAGTAGATGGCAGCTCAACACAAACCAGTCCATATATTTTAGCCATGTTTAGTTTTTTAAGACCCTCATTTTTCAAAGAAATCTTCCAGATTTTTTTTAGGGTATAAAAGGAATTGTTTGAAAAGAAATTTCTATGTTATTTTTTTGGCTGCATGCTAATCTCCTTATTCTGTACTAGTTTTAAATTTTTACCTTGTAATCTTTCCTAAAATCAAACGGCGAACGCTAGGTGTGCCCAGACCGGGTTCACCGATCATCTAGGACTACTGAGAGTCTATATTCTTTGTTTCTCCGCATCTCATCGGTCAGTTCATTGACAACAAGGCTCCTTTTAACATTCTTTTCGAAGCTCTATTCAATCAGTGTGCCACTTTGGGCACACCCACAGAATTAAAACGATAAGTGCTATCTTCACAAAATTTTACTTGTGTACTTGTGTACTCCTCTAGGCCTAATTAAACTGCCTACTTTTTTTTTTTTTTTTTTTTTTAAATAAAAACTCCGACTTTAAAAGGTAGCGTGGCGGAAAGGGTTAACTATTACTCCTTGAAAATTTCGACGTCTTAGAGTGACATAGACACTGAACTTTGAATATCAGTGTGCTCGAAGCTTCCTGTCGAATGCCTAATTAATATTCTTTTTAAATGCAATACTATGCAATAAACATTAAATTAACTGGCATTTTAGTTAAAGCATCTTTTAATTTAATGTTTTAATGAATTTTAATACGCGGAACATTGACGTGATGTTACTGAATTTTGCAGCCGTTCTTTCATAATAATACACTGCTCATATGTTAAAGACAAACATACTTATGTAGAAAAGCTAATATGAAGTCTTACTGCAATTAGTAAATTACTTATAGGGTACGTCAAATGATAAGAAAATGTCTGACCTCCAACATTTTAGGACTTTTATCTCTTGCACTGCTTCCGTTGACAGCAGACAGAAAGTATACCATAGTAAGGACATCGGCATTCATCAAGACGTCTTTCACATTGCTGTTGAGCGGTTGGGTGAGATCAGCTTTGAGGAACTTGAAGTTGAGCGACATTTCCTCAGAATTGAAGAAACGTGGATTACATTCCAAAGTCTTCATCACATTTTTCCCCGTCGTTTCCCACCCTTCACTTAAATCTATAACCGTCACTGTAAAGTTTAGTTTCTTTCTGTTCCTCGAAAGACAATGGTACACGGAAGTGACTACCTTGCTGACGGCCACTACATCCGAGGCTGGACCACCTCCAATGCAGCAAACGTTTAGCCTTTGCTGAAGTACGCACTTCTGGAGGGTGTGAGGATTACTGATTAGCAAATTTAGGAGATGTCTGGCTACGGCTGCAGTGAAGCATGGACTGTGCTTCATGACATAAGCACATCTTTTAGCAGATGAATCAAAGCATATTTTTGAAGCACCATTTTTGGTAGTTTCCTTAATATAAGCAGTGACAATTTCTCTTAAAGCACGTTTCATCTTCAAGCCGTTGCCACTGCTCGTGACGTCCAATTCCCTGTTGATCACAGCATAGTAGAACTCCTGAAGATCCTTGTCAAAAGTTTTCAGGAGCTGGGAAGGAGGCATGGGGGAGATGAAATCCATTTTGATAACCCCATAGAGGGTGATGGTGTTGTGGATGGCCCAAGTTCCGATTGAGGGGGATGAAAAATTATTACCGATAAAAAAACTTCGAAAAATTTATCAACAAGCTGTTAGATAACTTGTTTTACGTTCCACGTAGATAATGGATTTCATGTTGCCATTGGTGTTGCCAAGGTAACGAAATCGCTTGTGAGTCCTGATATTTCTCTAATCGCTGGCTCATGAGGTTTACACAAAACGATATCCTTTTATTTAAATAAATATGACGCATATTCTTCTTAGTTACTTTTATAAAAACTAAACAGGCTCTTCATGCAGTTCACAGCAGCCTTTTATATAAAAATACCTAAAGAACTATTATGCTACAAACTGCACTGAATCATTGCACTTAAAATTAGTGATAAGTTAACTGGTGAGGAAATAGATTAATAATACGCTGAATAAGACACAGCTTTAGAATTATAAAGAACAAAGCTTGAATAAGCTTCATTTGAACACCAAAGCGAGAAACGCGCTTCGAAAACTGCCTTTGCTTTAGTAGGAAATTGAAATGTAATTGTTGCTGAGTCAACACTAAATCAGTGTCGTAGTCATGCCATTGTTTTTTGAGTGTCGCCACTCACATCAGCAATTTTTTGTTTCTGTTGGCGTTTCCTAAGTAACGCAGTTTGATAGTTATAACCAGGAAAATACAGCTTTTTTGAAATACTGCTACTTCAGCTAAACTCACGACACTAGATAGTAGTCAAATGTACTTACCATAAAACAGCTATTTCAGAATTATACATAACTTCAACTGAAAGCTTAAAAGCGTATTTTATTCGTCAACTGTCTAAAATCAAAGAAATTACAAGTGTTTATCAAGTTTATATTAAATAAATATAAATACATTTTCAACAAATATTAGATATACTTTATTATTTCTTTAAGATAATAATATAAATAAATTATAGGTATCATTTCTTATACTAATAAAGATAAAAACATAAACAAACCTTAGATATCTTTTTTATATTCAAAACTTTTATTGATCTAGATTTAAAAAATGAATCTGATAAAATTTTGAGTCGCTCCAATGAAATGATATCATAATTCCCGTTTAAATTTTATTTCAAGATTTACTATTACATGAAATCGAGTTCTTATTATAATATGCCTTCTTTTCCTACTTCCATAATTTTCCTTAGAGTTTATATATTCTTGCTACGTATTTGTTCAGTTTTCCTAATTGATTTTAAAGAGAATTTTACAAAATAAATAAATATAAAATGTAAAACCTGAAAGATTTCAGATTTTATATTTTTTAATTTTTTTAATACGCCTAGAGGGGCGTTTTTTTCATTTACACATACATACACGTTTCGAGAGCGTTTGGGCTAACGCCTCTTTGGGCTAAAAATATTTAAAAACAGCACATCTTTAGAATTTCTGACAGACAGTCTCGCGAACTGACGATAAAAATATTCTATTCCGCACAGTGTGTTAACACACTGTGCGGAACCTAATTAATGTCTCTACAAGATAATAAAACAAAGTCGAAATTCTAGAATCGGGTTTCGAGGTGCCAAAATTTATATACAACCAAAATACGAGGTTCACATCCACATGTTATAGCAGTCCTATATACAAAATTTCAACGTTCTTAGGTTGCTTGTTTTTCAGTTATGCGAGATACGTACGTACGCACAGACACTACGAAAAATTCTATAAATTTTATAAATTTTTTTTTGGAGGAAAAGAGTCTTTTATTTTGTTCTTACGCACAGATGTCATGCAAAAACATCGTTAAATTGCATTCGATAGCGATCAAAATGGATATTTTCGTTGAAATATGCTGCCTGAAACTTTTCGCGATTACAATACTTCCTTTTTACTTCGTACAAGGAAGTAAAAAGGGTGGAAGGAATTTCACTGGCAAATATGAATCTTTAATTTTTATGGGTTTTTAACACTAAAAATGTTAATATTTTTACTAATTAAATTCTTTTTATTATTAATAATTTGTAACGAATTCCAGAAGTCTGTATTTCACCATTCCAGAAGTCTGTATTTCGAATCCCAGCGAGAACATCCGCTGATTGTTCCTATTTCCTGCTTGGATTTCCGCTGATTGTTCCTATTTCCTGCTGTTCCTAACTACTATGCTGGGTATTGTTCTACTACTATGCTGGGTATAGTAGTTACTGACGCTAACTGCCATACCATCGGGCCGGAGTTCGAATCTTAAATCCTGGTTGTTTGTAAGCGGATAATATCTGTGCGCTAAGGGAGCACTAAAAATATAGGGCGAGTTGAAAGTCCTGTTGAGAGATGAGTAAGAAGGGCGAGAGAGATTTGGATCTCCCGCGGTGTGATCTCCCTCAAAATCTGCGGCGGAAGTTTAACAATTAGCTAGATTCAGCAATACATCAATTACATACGCTACTACAGAGGTGCTAGCCTAGCTTCTACCTCTACTTGTTTCTCAATGGGACAAATACAGGTGCTTTAATTGGCAGCAGATGGAAAGGAACGTTCTCTTTTTTTACTGCATACCTTTGTGGTGCAATTAGAAGATTGTCCGGCTAGTGGACAAAAACTTCTGACGAGGAGTGGTAAATTTTCACGTTTCTTGCTCTAAAATAAAAATAGGCCAAACAGTGGCCGATTGGTAAAGTCGCTAAACACTGGTAATTCCTACTTGGGTTCGATTCCAGGCGAACGGGCTGCCTGCATGGGCGTGTTTGTGGTATTCCCTATGTGTGACGTGTATGTGAGCCTTAGAAAGTTCTTCACAAAGGTATCCTTTCGCTTAGGCAGATATAGTTCGACCGTCTCAAACGCAACCTTGGCTGGCATTCTGCCAAAACACGTAGACTCGTCCAAAAGGGGTGTTATTACTTGCTGCGAACGTGAAAGGTCACGTGAAGACGTCCGGAAAGAGAGAATTTATATGTTCGAAGGAAAGAAAGTCCCCAGCCATCCACCCTATTTTGAGAACAATTCGGTCCGAATGGCGCATGCGTAATTGCGCTCATGGTCGCGGATGAGGCGGTCCTAGTGTGCTTTGCCATAATCTCAATAAACCAAACCAAAACTATATAAACCTAATGATTTTTCAGATTGGGAAGTAATATTACTTGCTAATTTCCAATAAAAAGTGCAGTTCGCAAAGCCGTTTAAATAGTTCTTCGTTTTCTGTTTTCTAAATCTAAAATATATTACTTCAGATAATAATTTCATATTTTAATCTGCTACTAGTTCTGAAATTCCGTTTACTGTAAAGTAGAGGTACTCATCTGTGGAACATTGAAATATCAATTAAACACAGTAAAATGACGTCATTTTTGAACTGGACACTGCATATTTTAATTTCGTGACAGTATAGTGTTCGCTCACGATTTTGCAAAGATTTATATATAAACAAACTTTAGAATTTTTTATATTCTGATATGTTCAGTTTGATAGCCCTTTTGTTGAATTATGATATTACATCTTGATTTCCAAGATAAGTCCTTTACTTAAAACATCAAGTTTGATTTTATTTCATTCCCTCCTTCACAATCTTCTAGAGTTCCATCCAGTGTTTTAGGATGCCGCTTATAAAGAGCTTGTTTTAAAAGTAAAGATGCACAGTAATCCGTAGGAGATTTGGGTGGGATACATTTAAAAGGAATAGCTTCAATTCTGGTTTCAGTTCTCATTAAAAAAAAAAAAAAAAAAAAAAAAAAAAAAAAAAAAAAAAAAAAATCTGATGTGTACTCCACGACTTCCTTGTATTGGAATATTAAATTATACGCATTTTTTCTTGCATTTCATTTAAACTTATTGGATTGAATTAAATCTACTTCGCCGACAGCGCATAAACCACAATAGAATAAATGCATTCTTTAAAATTCACTCCAGTATTTGTTTACCATAACGACACTCTGGCGCTAGATTCACTTAACAGTATTAATAATTATATAACAGTTAATTTACATAATAATTATATAAAGGAAACTAAGTTAACTGTTATATAATCCAATAATTAAATAAGAGTTAACTTATATATTTTGTTCATATTATAACTCATAATGCACAAAATTTATATCATTTAAAGAATAGAATTATCTAATCGTTGCCACATGTTCTATTCAAATGCTATAATAAAGCTAGAATGATGTATAAAAGAAATTAAGCAAACAAAACAAAAAAGAAACAGTTTTTCACAGACGATTGAGTATTTCTCATTAAATTAATTCAGTTCTCACTTCGCGAGAAGGCAAAAACACATAAAAACTCAAAATATCTATATTAAAAATTACGAAGTAAATCTTAAACACTTATTTCCTCGAAAAAATTCTAGAAGGAATTAAACATGATTTAATTGGCAATAATAAATGAGTGCGTTATCTTTGTCGTTGCGAAGCTAAGTTTCTCTAGATTGGCAACAAATCCACTAGTCTCCTGTTTCAAATGTATACATCAATGGCCGCCATTAAAAAAAGGCTTAGCGGCACTTAGACAACTTAAAAATTGTTGATAATTCTAAAAAAATTGCATACAGATTTACTAAAGGCATAAAAACCTTAACCGGGTGATAAAAACAACACAATTCAATCATTTTTAAAGAAAAAAATGTACAATTTACAAACATATAAGAGTAAAGAAACTGAGATCACTGAGCCGGGTAACAGAGTTGTTATATATATAAAGATATTTATATACGTTTGGTGCGGCCGATTGCAACCAAAATACAAGGTGCACATCTACGTGTTATAGCAGTCCTATATACAAAATTTCAACGTTCTGAGGCTACTCTTTTTTGAGTTATGCGAGATACGTACATACGTACATATGTTCGTACAGATGCCACGAAAAATTCTCTTCAGAATTGATTTTAAAGCAGTTTTATAATTTTTTTGAAGGAAAAGAGTATTTTATTCTGTCCTTACTCACAGATATCACGCAAAAACATCGTTAAATTGCATTCGATAGCGGTCAAAATGGATATTTTCGTCGAAATGTGCTGCCTCAAACTTTTCGCGATTACAATACTTCCTTTTTACTTCGTACAAGGAAGTAAAAAACAGAGCAGT